TAATAGAATTTGCCATATATAAATTTTGTGTGGCTGTGACCCCAAATATTATTGCCCATGAAAAGTGAAATAGTGTTTACTCTCAGGAGTTACATAAACATTTCAACTTTTTTTTTCCTTTGGTATAGATTGAAGATGAGCTTTTTAATCCAGATTATGTGGAGGTTGACCGGATAATGGACTTTGCACGTAGCACAGATGACCGGGGAGAGGTAACAGAAGATCATTTGTATTAGGGGCAGTGACTCAGACAGCTTATGTGTGTTTATGGAGAATGATCATGGAGTCCTAGGTCTGTTCCTGGTCAGAGCCTTGGATGATGACATACTTGGTCTAAATTTAACAGAAATTTATTGATTTACAATTAGTTTTAGGGCTTAATAGTAACAGTAAATGTGTTTTATGTTGAGTTTGAGAGCTTTTTAAAAGGAATCACTTTTCAATATGAGACAAATACGTTGACATTTTGCACAGTTCCAGCTAGGATCAGTAAGGAATTCAGTATATTTTGGTATAAATCTATGATGTACCCCAAAATTATATAATTTCAATTATATAATTGAGTCCTCTTGTAGCAGAATGAAGTTCAGTGTTACTTCACACTGATGGGCTTCATTTAATGTGATGCACAGAGGATAATATAAAATATTCCTCTTTGTGAGATTCTAGTCTTGGCATGCGTGTGTTGCTTTGCAAAGCTCTGCAAGCTTGTAAAGGACAGTTGATGAGGCAGTAAGAGTAAAGTCAAGTCTAGTGACTTCTGAGCCTTGTATCTGAGTAAGGATGTGCCCATCCACCATGCTTTTAATGTGTTCTGTCATCCTAGCTTCTCGTAAATTAAATTATATAAAGTGTTTGGATCTTCCTTGTCTCATGAGAGTTTGCAGTGAATTCCCATTTTACTCCAAACTCTGTATCATGAGGACCATGATGTTTCAAAGACTGTATCTGAAACATGATGTTTACTTTCCTAGTTTTGCTTTAGTTGTACTGAAAAAAAAAATTTTTTTTCCCCATAGTATATTTACATAGTACAGCAAATGTTTGTAACATCACAACCAGGTCAGTGTACCTTGGTCCTGAAATGAAGATAAACAAACTCAAATATTTTCTGCAAGAAAGACAGGAAATCATGTTGATCTGCCCAGAGGAAATCGTGTTGATCTGCTTTATCCAAAATGTTTTGCTCTCTAGTCTTCTAGAGCTCAAACACATTATTTTAAAGCAGTTGGATACAAGCAGTGTCTCTTTAAGAAAAAGGCAGCAATCCTAGTAAATTCAAGCCTGTTTCTCATTCTTTAAGAAAGTAGCCATTTAGGTAAATGTGTAAACACACTAAGATGATTAACCATCTAAGTCTGAATCAGACACTGATGATTTGCACAGATAAGAATAAGGCTCAAAATCAGCTTTGTTATTTTCTAGCTATTTCTTTATGCTTTTTGGCTTTTGAACCTTCCTTACCAGGGAATGGCTTTGATAAAAATTAATTTGTTCCAATAATATTCAATAATATTTCCAGTTTAGACTTGAGACTCTGTAACCAAGGACTGCTTGTTCAATGGTCATGGTTTTAAAATTTCTGCCAACTGCTCCTTACTGTGGCTGCTGCTCAGTGTCTGTGCATAAATGAAGGAGAGCACATGGTTTTCATATGAATCCAACTCTGCTGTGTTTGCACCCGGCCCAGCCTGTGACTCACTATCTGGTGAAGTGGTGCTCGCTGCCTTACGAGGACAGCACGTGGGAGCTGAGGCAGGACATAGATCAAGCGAAGATTGAAGAGTTTGAGAAACTGATGTCCAGGGAGCCGGAAACAGAGCGTGTGGTGAGAACTGGCGAATGGCAGAGGGTTTAATTTGAAAATAGCGTGGTCGTGTGGTCTTTGAGAAACCACTAATGGGATTTACTATATTTGAAACAGGAGCGACCTCCTGCTGATGATTGGAAGAAATCGGAGAGTTCCAGGGAGTATAAAAACAATAACAAACTCAGGGAATACCAGTTGGAGGGAGTAAACTGGCTACTTTTCAATTGGTACAACATGTATGTACAACGTGTCTTTCTTCACTTTTCGAAAAGCCTAGACAGCTCTTTTCCTTTGTAGTTTATTGAAAATATTAATCAGCTGTAACTCAACATTTTTAGCTCGCTAGTAAAAATGATTTTAAAAAAGCAGCCATTGGAAGGATGCTTAATATCTGTCTATTCAACAAATACTAATACAGACATTGATCAAAGTGTAAAGAAATAATTTTTATGTCTTAGAGCATTTTGTTTGAAAATGTACTTTATTGTGTCTAAGAGAACATCTAAGATATGCATTTATGAATATAATAAATACATAGTCAGCTTGTAAACATAAAACCCTGTCTAGTATGTGTACTTATTAAACTCTCCTTGTTTTTATTTCCCTCCCAAAGGCGAAACTGCATTTTAGCAGATGAAATGGGTTTGGGAAAAACTATCCAGTCCATTACATTTCTCTATGAGATATATTTGAAAGGAATCCATGGCCCTTTTTTAGTAATTGCCCCATTGTCCACAATCCCCAACTGGGAAAGGGAGTTCCGGACCTGGACAGAGTTGAACGTGGTTGTGTATCATGGGAGTCAAGCTAGTCGTCGGACCATTCAGTTGTATGAAATGTACTTCAAAGATCCCCAGGTAAAGCATCACAGACGTCACTCCTTACCCTTATGTACAGCTTCAGGCTTTGGATGTTAGAGAGTCTCGGACATTTGGAGGGGGGAAGATCTAGATTTTGCAGAATTGAGAATTTGCAAAATCTGCAGTTTATGTTTGTATTGTAATGCCACATCTTATGATTATGGCTCTTTATTTTTATAGCCTTGGTCATTCTAATTGTTAAATTAGAATGAATGAAATTTTTTTTTACCTTGAATGACTGTTGAAAATCATTTAATGCATTGATATGCTAATTTGATTTATTTTGCAAGCCCTCAGAGAAAGCTAAACAAAAAATGGAGTTATTAAATGTGAATGGGAAGAATAGTGTGTTTTATTTGTTGTTGCTTGAAGTGAAAACTACTAGGCATGTAATATTGACTGGCACATTGAATGAAATGTACTCAAAGGGAAGGATTTATACTTGGCTCCTAATAGCGATTGCTATGGTTGTTTTTTTGTTTGTTTGTTTACTTATTCTAGTTATTTACATGGAGTTATTCTTTGCTATTGACAGAGAAGCATTACAAATGATAAAGAAGGAAGAATAAATAGTTTACACTAAATGGAAGTCCTGTAACTGGAAATAAGACAGAGTTTTGTTTTATACATTTGTTTGCCTGAAGTGAAAAATAGGACCTACAATTAAATAGTTAAAGGAGAAAAAAATTGAAGTCTGCTTTGGTGTTGATCTTTAGATTTGGGAAATTGTTTTAAGTTCTATCGTGAGTTGAGTATTTTCCTCATGTTAGCACTTTAAAAGCAAAAAATTAGTTAACAAAAGTAATAAATAAATAAATAAATGAAATTTAAAAGTAAAAAGTTTTTTAAAAGTTGGCTTAGTACATGATCCCTTTGGCCTTTTGCCCTTCGGAGTCTGTGGGATGTGACTGGCTTGGGCACACCTAGTGGCACTTTACTGCATGGTATCTGTGAGGAAGCTGGCTTGGAAATTCTACTAACAATTTTCAAACTTCCTTTAAAAAGTAAAGGTGTCAAAACTCTGTTATACTGTAACAGTTTAAAAACCTCCAAAATACCTTGAAAACAGACCATATGGGTTGCCTAAAATAAAGATGTCCCCAAAGGGATAAATGCATGTGTTTTACGCTTAAAGTTATTAAAGTAATCTTTAATGCTAAATAATAATCGAGAGTTATTCCTGTAGGGTCGAGTGATAAAGGGGTCCTACAAGTTCCATGCCATCATCACTACCTTTGAGATGATTCTGACTGACTGTCCTGAGCTGCGGAGTATTCCCTGGCGCTGTGTGGTCATTGACGAAGCCCACAGGCTGAAGAACAGGAACTGCAAGCTGCTGGAGGGACTCAAGATGATGGACCTGGTCAGTGCTCGCGCCGGCGATGCCCTTGAGCCCACGCAGAATTGTTACCGACCCGGTGTTCCTGCCACTCCGAATCTGACCGATAACCTTTGAAGGGTGTTTGCAAAGCCTGTCAAACGCTGGGATATGGCCTCCTGAGCGTTCAGTTAGTTCCCTGGAAGTTGCTGCCGTCTTCCTGATTCTTACGCCGTTGGCTGGTTTCTTTGCACCTTAGTCTCGCAGCAGAGTACAGTTGTGGTGTTTTCATGGAAATGAGTTTCAAGTATTTGCTTTTCCTTTTGCTTGTAAATACTGCCATTTCGTAAACTGCTGGGCCAAGCTTTAGCTCCGGGATGATCATCCAGGTATATTCCAGGGCTCGTAGGTTTCGGCGCCCAGGGTCCAGTAGGACTTGTACGTGCGAGTTCTCAGTGAGTTGAATCAATATCTGGAATTGGTCCAGTTCATGCAGACACTTAGAAGTTCAGGGAGTTACAGGACCTTGAGTTTGACCTGGAGTTTTAGAACATGCCTGTCCCATGGTCTTCCAGCTTCCCAAGAGATGGTCAGGTCTTCCAGATGAGGAATTTCTAGATTTTTTTCAGTGGAAGTATCATGGGACGACATGCTGTAGGGAGGGGTAGGGTGTGAGCACTATTCCTTTCTGTACGGCTGTATGATTTTCTGGCAAAAATGGCTACATGACTAAGTCAACTTCAGGCTTTTTACTGTGCCGTTTACAGGGTACATTTTGATTGCTTATTTTTATTTTTAATGTACATTTTAAAAGCAAAGTTACTATATTTAGCATGTCTTGGATGTTTTGATGAGTTTTTAAAAAGTACAAAAATATTTTTTTAAGTCCCTTTTAGTGTTGACTTCCATGGATTCATTTGATCTCTTGTTAATTGAGAGTTTGAGATGGGAAGGACTGTTTTATATATGATCACAGCTATCAGTTTTTTACTGAAGTCTGGTACCATCGAAAAGAACACTTAAAAGCTTTCGGTTGCAGCTGGTTCTTTGAAGCGGCTTCTTTTATTCCTAAATTAAGGGGATTGGATTAGCCAGCTATTCTTTTAATTAAAAACAAACAAAATCTAGTTTTGTTTAAAGGAAAACGTCTGACTGAATTATCCTATTTAGAATGGGATTTCCCATCCTTAAGACCATTCTCAGAATCATTTATATTATTTGGTGTTCAATTCACAGAACAAATTAGAACACTTAGAAAGGGTGGAGAGTCGTGAAGACCTGGCTAAGCGTGTGGAAAAGAGAAACTCTGTGGCTGTGCTTGCTCTCTCCAGGTGATGCTTTGCATCACATGGAAATAAACCTATAGTTTTTGCTAAACACCCGTGCTCGTGAACTGTCTACCGTGTCTCCTGAGCAGGGCTCCTTCTTTACAGTGGTCCATGTAAGAGACGGTGGCAGTGCCATTTCCTGAAGGCTTCAACAGCCATCTGAGTTTATCTAAATTGTTTTCTGTTATTAGTTCCTGTACTCCCAGACAGTAGATTCTTACTGCAAAACAGTCCTTCATTGGTGCATTAATTCAGCTCTGTCAACATCAGACAATCTAATTGTCATTGGGAGATTTCAAAGGATTTTCTGTTGTTTAATAGTAACACTTCATTAATGGATTAGAGTCTGTTATCCAGATAACTTTTCTGTTACACAGTGCAGCGTTCCCCAGCCTTTTTCATGTGGTGGCACACGGAGAAAATGACAATATTTGTGTGTCATCCTGGGGTAAGCCAAGAAGGCTGCCCACTACCACAGGTGACCGGTCTCGGGAACCTGACTGCCACAGCCCTGCTGGCTGCCCCAGGGACTTGGCACACCTGTAACTCATTCATGGCTCACCACGGGAAGCTCTGATTAGCAGATGAACAAAGTAATTGTTTTTCTGATGATCAAGAATCTTTATCTCATAAGAGCTGTTTTCTAGATGGAACACATTGTCATTGTTCAGAATTGGAATATAACTGTATTTTTCCGATTCTGAACAGCTCATTGTCTGGTCTTAAAATCCTTACTTAAAATATGCATCATGAGAACTTAACGCACTGGCCACTTTTTAATTCACCTTTCTTAAAATAAGTCACGGTGAAAACAGCGAATAATAACTCCATCCAGCCTCGGAGCAGCTCGCTGGGGACTGCTGTTACCTGCACGAGACTCAGTTACAATGAAGGTGCATTTGACGAGGGTTACCCTCAAGTGTGTTCTCAGGAAGGGAGGACCAGCGAGTGTCTTCACCTCCCCATCGCAAAGGAAATGCTAGTGAGCATGATACCGGGAGGAACATAGAGGGTCCCCGCTGTGCTCCGCAGCAGCCCTGGAGGCAGCGCCCTCTCCTTGTCCCTGTCGGCAAAGGAGGGATCTCTCTGGAGGTAATGGTGGTTCTTCATGGATTCATCTTTCATTGTCAGGAGGCCTCATGCAAATTAAAAAGGAGTCCGCTGCAATGAAATTAAATGGAAATCACTCCATCAGAGCTAAAAAGAACAGTAACATTTTCAAGCCAGGAGCCTCGCTGCTGGCGTAGTTGAACTTGGAGGTGATAAGCTTGATAGTCCGTCTCCTACTCGACCTTTTATGACACCTGCGTATTAACTGTATGTTGCTTAATAGTCACTTTCAAATGGGAACGTTTTATTCTGCTACTCATGCAGCCTCACCGAAGGGTCATACGTGTGATCATTTGGTGTAACTGGCTTTCAACAGCCATTGGGGAAGAGCTGCATAAGAAAGAAGTTCTTTTCCTTCTTTCACGTAAGTTAATTCGGAAATGAATAGCTTACAAGGCTTTTTCTGATGTATTTGGTTCGAGGCTCAGGATTTAACTTGGTCACGAGGGATACAGAAAAGCCAGGGGGAGGCAGTCCTCAGTACCAGTACAGGTCTTCCAGCGCAGTAACTCTTTTCCTGAATCTGTGGCAATGGTTTTAAAAATTCTTGGATGAGTTAATTCAAACTTGAATATGTCAGGGACCACGGGCCACGTGACGACCAGTATGGTTCTACATTAGAAAATCTCAAATTGATTTGCAAACTCCTTCCTCATGAATTTAATGAGCTGAAGGATGATAGTGGTCTGTGTATCTTTCTGAATCAGAGACCTCTTTTTTTCAAAAGGGAGAAAAGGAAGAATAAAAGCAAATTGAACGGCTTCCTCTTCCTTTCAAAGAGCTTCACTGACACATAAGACATGGTAGATATTAAGAAAATTAGCGTGTCCTCAGGTGTCTCACTCATCCAGTGTTTACTGAGCAGAACTCTCTGCCCAGCAGCCAGGCCTTGTCAGCTTTCAGGTTAAGTCAGAATATTGCTTTTGAACCTCCTGGAAGGTATAGCCACTTTTGGAAATAGTTTGGTTAACTGTGCTGTGTAGCAAAAGGCCAAAGGAGAAAATAAGGCCCTTAAGGTTAATAAGTTCACTGTCATTAAGGCTGGTCACCACGTCGGCTGCATAGAAATAGAAGGACAAGGGTGCGAAGGCTTAAGGAAAGCTGGAGAAAGCACTTATGACAGGAAGAGTTGCTTTAAAGAAATACCTCACTTGGTCCAAAGAGACAAAGTTAGATATAGCATGTCTTTTTTTTTTTTTAAGTTGATTGTGGTATTTCAAACCCAGCTGACCTCTTTGCTAGTCTGAAATGGGTGAAGAACAGAATAGTTTTTCGCGTGCTGTTGTGTGTGGAAGACATTTTGTCTCTGAAGTGAGTCACACAGGAAGGAGATGGGGAGGGCAGTGAGGGCGCCGTCGATGTGCAGAAAGAGAGAAGCAGGCCGGCTTCGTCCCAGGGATTTTAGGGACAGACTTAAGGTCATTTGATGGGGAACGAGGCCTGGAGATGTAGGGGGCCTGCGAAGCCACAGCACCAAAACGTGGCCCTAAAATCCTGGGCAGACACAAAATGGTAAGACGGGTTTAACGGGGGTCCATGAATCCGTCTGAAGCAGGGACCACGTTTCTGGTGTCCCCACCCTCGTGCCTCACTCCTGCACCTCAGGAGGGTGGACGCTGGCGCTCAGCGTTGCCGAGTAGATGCAGGACGCTGCGGGCCTCGGGGGGCCGCGGCCTCTGCTGCCGTCTGCTCAGTCGCTTTCCCCGCGTCCCCACAGGAACACAAAGTGCTGCTGACAGGGACCCCGCTCCAGAACACGGTGGAGGAGCTGTTCAGCCTGCTCCATTTCCTGGAACCGAGTCGCTTCCCTTCGGAAACCACCTTCATGCAAGAATTTGGTGACCTGAAGACAGAAGAGCAGGTACTGGCCGCGCCGACTCTGCGTTTCAGTCACGCCGTGGGCGGCCACCCCGAGAGAGGGCAGAGCCCTGAGGCCTGAGCGTTCTGCAGTGGCACTTGGGTCCACCTCCCCCAGCCTGGTGGACGGGCGAGCTTCCCCCATCCTTTCCTGGGGCATCCTGAGCCTTCGTGACGGCGGTTTTCTTGTTGGTTTGTCTGTTGGCCCTCATGAGGGCTGTTGAGATGGGCAGGGAGGCTGCAGACCGGCTGGTGTCATTTCCAGCTGCTGAGCCCCTCCGTTGGGTGGTGGTGCTGTGTGTGCTTTTGGGGGACCTGTCAGAAATTTGCAAAGCTAGTTCCCTCCTGGAGTTTTGAGGTTCTAGTCTTATTTCTTAACTGTATACTTGGTCACATTGCTTACTTTGTTTTGTTTGGAGGGGGTAATTAGGTTTTATTTATTTTACTGTTTTTATTGGAGGTACCGGGAATTGGACCCACGACCTCGTGCACACTAAGCACGTCTCTGCCGCTGAGCTGCGCCCCACCCCGCCCCCTTGAGTCTACATATTTTTGTTTAGAAACGCAGGTCCTAACGACCCCACAGGATTTCTTTGAGAAGTAAATGGGATACTGGGTATGAAAAGTGGTTGTTTTTTTCACCCATCACTAGAGTTATGTGGGTGTTGATTTAATCAACATGGAGATATGCTCGAGATCTTGGTCTCTCTGTGTCCCCTCCCCTAATTCACTGTCTGAAACCTCTCAGTTTAGTTCTTAGTGAAGTCTGTTTTGTTCTGTTCTGCTTTTCTTAAAATAAGAGCTGTCTGGTGTGCTGTGTCCTGTTACCATTCAGCAGAAAAGAGAACAGAGAGAGGTTTCTTGCTCGCTCACTGGGGCAGGGACGGAGCTCCTGGCTCTCACGCATCCTGGCAGCGCTTTCTAGAAGGGAAGAGAGCGGAAGCGTGGCATTCCCACGACATGGTCTCTTCCTTCCTCATCGTCCTCAGGCTTAAGACAAACAGAAGGGAAAACTAACAGAATAAACTGGGTTCTTTCCCACTGAGTTCCATGCAAGCCTCGTGGCTGTTCAGGGCTCCCGGGCGGGTGAGGCAGTCCACTGGAAATTGGCCGGTTCAGCCACGTGCACTTCCGTTGTGGAAGCTATAAGATGCGTGCCTTTGTGCCCTCCCTGGCTTTGACAAATGACACGTAGATAAGAATGGTAAATAAATACGAGAACCCTGGTCCTTCACGTTGGAGTCTGTTTTTAACATGCAGGCAAGTCGTGATAGCAGTATTTACGTAAGGTCCTTTTTTAGGTGCAAAAACTCCAGGCTATTCTAAAGCCAATGATGTTGAGACGTCTCAAGGAAGATGTGGAAAAGAACTTGGCCCCCAAGGAAGAAACGATCATTGAAGTTGAGCTAACAAACATTCAGAAGAAATATTACCGAGCCATCCTTGAGAAGAATTTTACGTTTCTTTCCAAAGGTGGTGGTCAAGCTAATGTACCTAACCTTTTAAACACTATGATGGAATTACGGAAGTGCTGCAATCACCCCTACCTTATCAACGGTAAGCCCTCCTCCCGTCCCCTTGCTGAGGTAACCGGCAAGCTCCAGAAGTCTTTGTCTCCCTCCAGGCTGATGATGTGTGGTTTGTAATCATCTCAGTGTGGGTGTCATCGCCATCCTGTTCTTCGTGAAGCCTCCTTCTCTGTGGCTGAAGGTGCAGGGCTGCTGCCCCCACTGACCCCTAAGGCGGGACCTCCCTCGCCTTTCCCTGCCTCTGTGTCTTCCCCTGTCTTCCCCTTTGAAGGCGGCGGGGAGGTGAGTACTTAATGGCTAGAAGTCATCAAAAGTACCCACAGTTAAAGCGAAATTAGCCTCTGATTGAGGTGTTCTTGCTCTGTGTGTGTGTGTGTTTAGATCAAAGAAGTTACAGAGGAGCTTCAGGGTGAGAGGTTAGCTGTTAGCTGTCTCAAGACTTTGGTGGGAGGAAAGTTCTCTCAGTCTGGGGCCTTTAGCACCTGTTCTGCAAGAGAGATTGTCTGGAAACGTTGCTAATGGTTTGTTCCTGGTGCTGATGAGTGCTTTTTGGTCTTCCCGCTTTCTTAACTGAATTGATAGTGTCATGTAACTGATAATGAGAAGAAACCTGTATCGATACTTCCAGAAATCACGAAGGGAGTAAATCTTTGATTCGTAAGATGCTCTGGGGGATGCAAAAGCCTTCGGTTTGTCAGGGGTTGAGATGAGGAGAGCCATTAGAAAGCTGTGGTGACACTGAGACGAGGATTTTGCCAGTCGGGGTTGGAAAAAGAAAGGGCACGGGGCTGTATAATACCTCCAGCAAAGAGGAGGAGGCAGGGCAACAAAGAGGAACCTGCCCAGAGCATAACGTACGTGTGAGGAACAACGGGACAGGGACGCTTAGACAAGTGGCACCTTGTCGTGCAAAGCCTTAAATGCTGGCTCGTGGGATTTTGGCAGAGCTGAGAGGTGGTTAGAAACGCGACTGAGGATGAGTGATCTGGCAGCAACGTATACCATGGATGGGAAATGGGGAAGATGTCCAGGCTGAGCTAACACCGCTGTGGTCTGTAGTCCAGGCCGGCGTTAGAGAGAGGTGATGGCTGGCCAGCTCGGGGCGCTTGCGTGCGGTTGCAGTTGGCCGGCAGTGCAGTTAGGTTCCTTTCCAGGGGAGAAGGGACAAAGGCAGATAGTGTCTGTATTACAGTCCCTGAGGCTCACACGCAGCTCATGTAAAGAGTTCCCAACCTCTCCCCCTTTTATAACCTACACACCCACCAGCCACCTCAGTCCCAGAAGCTGCAGTCACTGCACGACGATGTTCCTCACCTGGGACCATCTCAACATCGCACACAAGGTCCCGGCTAGGGAGTGACATCAGCAAATGTGTTTTTCAAACTTTGTACTTATAGTGTGGTCTTCTAAAGAGAGTATCGTGTGTGATAATTGCATGTTCAATGCCGCAAACCTGCTAATTGTTGGGTGTTTAAGGGCCTGTGAGGCTGTCCTGGTGAGTGTCACCAGCCTATCCTCGAGTTGGGGAGTTGGGGCCGAAGGTGGTTGGTGGTGTGAGGAAAGCGCGTGTGTGCGTACATGTCACACACATGCACACACTGTTGCATTTAATGTCTGGTAAGAAGAAAATGAGGAACAGGAGCCTCCGCAGGGAAAGACAAGACAGTCACAAGAGCTGAAATGCCGCAGCCGGGTGCGGGTGAGAGGGATGGTCTCACGGGGGTTGGCAGAGACCCTCCCCGTTCCATCTGCTTCCCTTGTCAGTTTCCCTTGTCAGGTCATGTGCGGTCACGTGCCTTGAGCATCGGGGGATGGGGGCAGGGCTCCCCCCTGGGTGGGTCACCGCGGGCAGAGGCTCTAGGACTCCTCAGGCTTGGACCCCTGGCAGTTGTTTTAATCAGTCGCAGCTTGATGTCAGCTCTTCCATCCTCAGAGCAAGTTACGGAGTGTCAAGCAGGTGTCCTTACCTGCCTGTGTGTTTGGAAACTGTAGTAAAAATAAAGATTCACACCCGGACGTGTGCTGGGCATCTCAGCTGCCCGAGGACTCCCGCAGCCCTGTGGTCGGGTGGGCGCTGCTCCGGGGCAAATGGTCCCGAGGAAGAGGAGGAGGAGGAAAGGAAGGACGCGCCAGCGCCGCCACCTCTGCGCTCCTTCCAGGAGGGCTCCAGCTGGGGAGGCGGAACTCAAGTCTGTGTTGGTTGTGACAGAGCAAAGCAGCCCCAACCAAAGGCAAGTTCAGTTCAGCAAAGCTCAGCCCTGCTGTCATCGTGGAAGACAGAAGCCACTCTGTAGGCTGAGCGGTAACGTCAGGGGAGCAGACGGAAAAACGAGAAGTGCTTGTAGACCACAGACCGCGTGAATGAGAAGTGCCCCTCACGTGCACTGAGATTTTTACTTAAACGTTTGGGGCCGCGTTGGGGGCACCGTTACTATGCAGTGGTTGTTTTTCTTGCTTAAAGTTAAGCAGGTTAACCGGGTTACATAAACCAAGTTGGTGTTTTTGGCCCAAGCTTTATTAGAATGGGACATCTGATTTGGGGTTCCGTATGTGAGAGTGAAAATGATGTTGGCGACTTGGCGGGGGCCCTGATGGTCAGGGGTGACTTAAGAGTCACATGTTGTTGTCGTTGGGTTTGGGGGCACGTGGAGAACAGCAGGCAGAAAGGAGATGAGACTGACGCTTGGGTGGATTTCCAAGAGAAAACCGTGGCCTGTGTTTTGCTGGTTGGTGTTTGCGGCTGATGTAGCTAGATACCATTGCAGCTCCCGCCTTGACAGTGACCATCTGTCTAAGGGAAAAGACCTCTGCACTTGGTTCAAGTTGGCTTTGACACACGTGTACACACACACACACACACTTTTAAGTGTTGAACAAGCAGGACTTGAGTTTAGGGCAGTGCCAGCAGAGCATTTGGGCTCTCGTAACCATTTCCAGCCAATTTTTTGATTGATACTTGCAAATCTCGCATCACGGTAAACCTTTAATTGGTAAAGCTGAGAATCCGGCCGTGACTTCAGCAGGTAGGCGTTGCTTCCCCCAACCCCTACCCCTGCCCTCCTCTCTTCAGTCTGTTCTGGACACAATATGATGCCAAAGGAGTCATACAGGAAATAGGTTTGCTGGTAAGTTTAAATGAATTATTATTTGTGTAAATTGGCGGCCACTTTAAGGACCTGAATTCACAGCAAAGAGCTGAATTGATGAATTGAGCAGAAACTTTTGACAGACAAGAAAGAATTTTAATTCTGACTATATTTTATGATATGAGAAATCACTGGTAGTGTTGAAAAAGCAGGAAAGTTATTTTTCTCATCAAAATACATTTAAAATGAAGAAAGATTAAATTTCTCTACCAATTTGACTGAATTTTTATTTTCAAATTTTTTACTGAAATGATCCAAACATGTCAGATGTTTATTTTGTCAGAGTGATTGTTTAATTTCTGAAAACTACTCATTGACTGTTAACTTGTTTTAAGCTAAAAATACATTTTATTTTGATGATGCATTGTAATCTTAACATGGGCAAACAGTAACTACCAAGATATTATAAGAGTAAAATCTTATTTCTGAATTGCAAAGAGCTTATAGTATGTTACACGACCAGAACAAACTTGTTGAAAAGACCTGGTGTAATTCATGGATTTAAATCTGTTTCCCCTGCCTTCTGAAGGCCTTCTTGTCCTGAATCTAAAACCTAGAATTCTAAAAATTTCATATTTTGAAAAACGTTATTCAACTTTATACAAGAACATTTATTCTAGAACATTGTTTATTCAGGAATATTCCTGCCGCAGGGAGGGTGTAGCTCAGTAGTAGAGCGTCTGCTTAGCAGGCACGAGGCCCTGGGTTCAATCCTCAGCACTTCCATTAAAAATAGGCAAATAAATAAAAACGTAACATCCCCCCCCCCCAAATTTTTAAAGTAAGTAAGTAAAAATGTTTAAAGATGTGAAATTAAAAAAAAAAAGAATATTCCTGCTAAGGCTTCCAAACAGCATTTTGGTCTTTACCTTTTCCTGGTAAGATCTTTGCTTTTTGTTCCACTGAGATTAAGATTCTAAATATTAGCCTGTTATTCATGTGGAAGGGGAAGAGAGAGAGACAGCAATTCGACCCAGCTGGCGTTTTCTGCCAGGCCCTTCGTAAGAAGTAACAGTGCACTTTGCAGAGGCCCTGGTGCCTGATCCAGGCATTAGTGACTTTAATCTGTTCTCGGTAAGAGTCTTTGTTGATTAATAACTAACAAGCAGCGTTTCCGCGTGTGACCGTGTCATGACTTGACTTCCACAAGTGCCCTTAAAATGGAACCGGGGACACTCATGTCACACCTGCTGCTGCTGACCCCGTTCAGTCCTGGTGGCTCTGGGGGCCTCACTCACCTGCCCTTTGTCCCTGTGAAGGTCTCAGTATCCCCATCTTGTCTCCAGCCAGTTCATTCACACATTTAAAGCCAGTGGTAAGAATGGTAGTTTAAAATTCCTGGTGGGTTCAGGGCCGGAAACCAATCCCATTAGATGAATTTGTTTGTCTGTATTTTGCAAAGAATTAGGTGACCACACCCCCATCCCCAGGGAGAGGAGCTGAGCAGACAGCCAGGCCCTGATTAGCCCGAGCTGCCAGACCGGTGCTGCTGCGTAATTCTAGTTCAGCCACCTCAGCAGCTGCTGGGAGCTTCGCCTGCTGCCTCCTGAACACATGCGGGTCTGGGGTCAGGGAGGAAGCGGGAAGGGCTTGGCTCCCCAGGAAGAGGCCTCTCTGATGCACCCAAGTCTCTGAACAAGCAGAAGTCTCTTTGGGGGGTTAGGGGTAGAAGTCTTGCATGAAACAGAGACTGGTTTTTGTTTTCTCAAGCTTTGGTTAATTCAAGATAGAATTTTCAGACCTGACGAAATGATCAGGTGAGGATGAATGTGGAGGAAGACTTGGGGATCGCAGTAGAAATGTGTGCTCAGATCCCCTAAACGCCTAAAAATTATCCTGGAAGACGCACTCCCTTGTGCTGCCGCCCTTTGGCTGTACTACTAGGCAGGCAGACACGCAGACCACTGCCCTTGCGCTGTAATTGTTAGAACTCTGCTCCCGTTTCTTAGTTTCAGAACAGATTTTGTTGCTTGTGTTTATATTCAGCTAGTAAACAGTTCTTCATTTCTTTAGTGTTTTAGGTTCCAAATTTTCTGTAGGTATCTGGCCCTTGGCTTGTTTCTGCCACTTCTGGCTTGACAGTCTGTTGTTGAAATACAGTTTCTACAGACAGCAAACATTTGTTTGTTGGAAAATGTGGTTTTTTTCCCTCCCAAATGCTGAAATGTGTGGCACTTAAAAACTTTGATCCCTTTTATTCTTCCACGGTTTTAATGTAGCCCTGACTTGGAGCTAGTGGACCTATGTGCGTGTGGCCGTGAACACGAGTGTAGCGTCCTGGTCCCTACAGTTTACAGTGGGCTTTGAAAGCCAGTTCATTGTTTTGGGTAATAAAAAACCTTTTCCAGTATTCCCGTCATGCTGTCCAATCTCTGCAGGTGCTGAAGAGAAAATTTTGGAAGAGTTTAAAGAAACACACAACGCGGACTCTCCAGATTTTCAGCTCCAGGCGATGATCCAGGCTGCTGGCAAGCTCGTGCTGATTGACAAGCTGCTGCCGAAGCTGAAGGCTGGTGGCCACAGGGTGCTCATCTTCTCCCAGATGGTGCGCTGCCTGGACATCCTGGAAGACTACCTCATTCAGAGACGGTGAGGCCGCCACTCCGGGAGGCGCAAATGGGGCTCCGCGTGGTCTGCCTCCAAGGGATGTTGACGACAAAGGGGACGGCCTGGGGACACGTGTCCCGTCTCTTTGTAGAAAGCTGTGGATGTGCGCGGCAGTCACTCCATGCGATGCGTACCTCTGTGGGCGGTTTTGTCTTTCATTTCTCTCGTTCGGCGAGGGGAGGACAGTTCTTACCAAAAACTGAAATTGTTGTTTGGCTGTGAGAGGTGCCAGGTCTTAGAACTTCGATATTTCGCTGGAAGAGAAGTAAAATGAACTTTCATCATTGGGGGCACTCAACCAATTGTGTGAGAAGCTATAGCAAAATTTATTTACTCTGAAATTATTTCTGATCAGTAGTATCATTCTGTTCGTACGCATCCCGGGTTGGGGAACTTGCTTAAAAATACCAAAAGAAATTAAAAATACAAAACAAAAACAAAAAGCCAAGGAATTTGCTTCCGTTTGTCAGGCCTCCGTGTTAACACTGACGTTTTCCAGGTACCCGTACGAAAGGATTGACGGCCGGGTCAGAGGCAACCTCCGCCAGGCAGCTATCGACCGATTCTCCAAGCCTGACTCCGATAGGTTCGTCTTCCTCCTGTGCACGCGGGCAGGAGGCTTAGGCATTAATCTCACTGCTGCTGATACCTGCATCATCTTTGATTCTGACTGGAATCCCCAAAATGATCTCCAGGTAAACATGCATGAGAATCTTCCTGAAGCCCCCTCCCTACCTGCCTTAACGTCGTTGTACCATATCGGAGAATCCACAGTCAAACCAGGAAATTAAAGTTACGTCGTCACTCAGGCAGTGTCCCATGATCGAGGCAAATGAGCCAACTAGCTATCAATTTATTAACAACGTAAAAGTAATTTCTTAGTGTGTTAACCCTCTTCTGCTTAACTGCGCCTCTGTTTTTTTGGAACAGGTGCTCTTATAACTGACAGTTGATTCTCTTCTTTCTCTGGTAGCCATCACTTTCCTTTCTCTTCCAGGCTCAGGCTAGATGTCACAGGATAGGACAGAGCAAGTCTGTGAAAATCTACAGGCTGATCACAAGAAATTCTTACGAAAGGGAAATGTTCGACAAGGCTAGCTTGAAGCTCGGTCTGGATAAAGCCGTCCTGCAGTCCATGAGCGGAAGAGAAAACGCTCCCAATGGGGTAAAGCCTGCTGCCCAGGCCCTGTGCGCATTCCAGCTCCTCCCGGGAAGAGATGACCCGGCTCTGATTGTTTTCCACCCGCAAGATTTTACGCATATTTTGTCACACTTTCCCCGGTTATAACCCAGGTTTACCCGCTTTGAGGAAAATGAAGCCTTTGTTTAGTCTGCAGACATTTCAAGTCTAAATCATTTTAAATATCTCTCTAAAACAGGTACAGCAGCTTTCCAAGAAAGAAATAGAGGATTTGCTCCGGAAAGGGGCCTACGGTGCACTCATGGACGAGGAGGACGAGGGGTCTAAGTTCTGCGAGGAGGACATCGACCAGATCCTCCTCCGGCGAACCCACACCATCACCATCGAGTCTGAGGGCAAGGGGTCCACATTTGCTAAGGTGCGGCTCGCCCCGAGGAGGAAGGTGCTCTGTAGCAGTGTGACCGAGTTCGCGTCCAGCGCTCAGGAGAGGCCCACGCGGCGTCTGCTTTGTATTGCGCGTTAAGAAGTTAACTCCCTACAGAGCCCCTGGTGCACAGACCGCTCTTCGTTTGTGTTTTGGGGTCTCTCCTCTGTGTATGGATGGCATCGTGGTCCCCCTCACCTTGTCCCACATGTGCCTGCCAGCACCCCAGGCTCGTGCTTCCCTTGCATTACAGACCCCGTCCTCTGTCCGTCACCATCTTCCTCCTTTCTTGACATCCTGATTCCTGATGTAGCCCTGAGAGCAATCAACTCACTCCTGTCTTTCAAGTCTCCCATCCGGGGGGGGAGGGTATATCTCAAGTGGCAGAGCGCATGCTTAGCAGGCACGAGATCCTGGCTTCATTCCCCAGTAGCTCCTCTAAAAATAAACAAACCTGATTACCCACCCCCCACACATACCAAAATAAAATAATTAAATCATACAATAATAAATAAATTGAAAATTTAAAAAGTCTCCCATCTGCTTCCCCTCCGACTACAACCCTGTCACTCTTCCTTCAGGGCTGAGAGCCACACAAGCAGTGTCTACGCTGCCCTCCACCACCTCCCTCTCTGCTTATTTTCCAACTTCTAGCCCCCACCTCTCTGCCCCCTCCCCTGGGCCCCTTCCGAGGCTTCACCCATCCACACCCAGGCCCACGCTACGCTTTCATTTTTAACAGCTATATTGAAATGTAATTTACTTACCATAAAATTCACCTACTGTAGGTATGCACTTTGATGCCTTTACTGTATTTACAGACTTGTACAAGTATCCTCACTTCTCAGTTTAGAACTTTTCCGTCACCCCATTACCAGCCAGTCTCCCCACCTTCCCCACCTCTCCTCCTCGAAGTCCTTGGCAGCCACTGATCTGCTCTCTGTCTCTAGATTTGCCTACTCTGGAGCCACACGACATGTGATCCCTTCTGTCTGGCCTCACTCGCAGCGTGTTGTAGCGCGTATCAGTGCCCCTTCCTTTTTATTGCTGAGCAGTATCCTTCTGTATGGCTGTGCCTCGTTTACCTGTTGACGATGGACAGAAAGATTGTTGATCCATTTACTAGTGGATGGTGAAGTTTGGTGATTATGAATAATGTTGTCACGATCTTCTGTGTCCAAGGTTTTGTGTGGACGTGTGTTTTCATGTCTCTTGTGCATGTACCAGGGATGGGATTGCTGGGTCTGTGTTAACTCCGTGTTTGACCCTTTGCGGAGCTGCCAGGCTGTTTCCTAAAGTGACTGCCATTTCCCCTTCCCACCAGCAGTGTTTTAGGGTTCTGATCTCCACAGCCTCACCAACACTTTTTGTTGTCTGACTTTTTGGTTGTGACCGTGTTACCGGTGTGAGGCGGCCGCCTGCTCGGGTTGGGTCTTGTTTCTTTTATGCTACTTAGCATCTTCACGTGTGCGGGTTGGCCATATGTGTGTGTGTGTGTGTATAAAAAAATATAATCTTTGGAGAAATGTCTATTCAAATCCTTTGTTCATCTTTCGAGTTGCCTTTTTTAATTGAATTTTAAGAATTTATATAATTCTGGATAAAAGTTTTCCCATCAGATTATACAATTTGCAGATATTTCTCCTAGTCTTTTCTTGGTGGTATTTAATTTTAATGAAGCCCCGCTTACGCCTTTTTTTCTTCTATTGTTTGTGCCTTTGGTTTAATCTAAGGTCACACAGATTTGCTCCTGTGTTTTCTTCTAAGAGTTTCATAGTTTTCGCTGTTACCGTTAGGTCTCTGATTCCTTTTGAGTGAACTTCTGTGTGTGGTGTGGGGTAGAGGCCCAGCTCCCCCTTTTGCATGAGGATATTTAATTCTCCAGCTCCTGCAGTCGTCCCAGCTATGCCAGTCCTGAAACGCTCTCCTCGTCTGGGCTCTGTGATCCCACACCTTCTCCCTCACGTCTTTCTGCCTTTTTTCAGGCTCTTTCCTCAGCCCTCACAGGCACTTCAGATCCAGTGGGTGCAAAAGCAGATTCCTCTTCCCTGCCCCTCCAGCCTCTGTGCATGTCAACACCCAGAGTTGGGTGCTGAGGTTTCCCTGGCCTTCACATCCTCTCAAATTCTAACTCTAATTTGACCTTTTAAAGACTGTCTTCCAGGGGAGTGGATATAACTCAAGAGGTAGAGCACATGCTTAGCATGCATGGGATCCTGAGTTCAATCCCCAGTACCTCCTCTAAAAATAAATCTAATTCCCCTCCTCCCTGCTAAAATTAAAAAAAATTAAATACAATAATAAATAAGTAAAAAATTAAAAAAAAAGACTGTCTTCCATACTGTCTGCTTCGCTTCATTTCTGGGGGCCTCAGAGTTCCCGCTGCCTCAGGCTGGAGTTCAGACTCTGGTAACAGGACACGCGAAGCCCCGGCCTCTGTCCCACCAGCTTGACCTTGGGCCCTACCCGCTGAGCACCTGCACCGCCGGCCACGGCCCGCCTTTCTTCTCTGTGCCTCTGCCATGAACGTTTCCATGTGCTGTCCTCTTCTCTGAGTTTCTGACACTCTGGTCCAGGCACTCCGTTCTGGAGAGCCTGTCCTCTCTTCCCAGTGGTGCCCCCTACCCCAGTGGAACCTGGTCAAGGCCCTCCTCTCCCTGTCGGGTGCAGGCACCTTTGTCACCTGTTGTTCATTATGTCTTGTATTTCCTGCTCGGTCTCAGCCCCTGGACAGTGAGCTGCCTGAGGGACGGCCCTGCGTCACGTCCCATCGCGCCAGCCGGCACACGGCGCACAGCGGAGGGCGCCATGTGGGCGTGATGAATGAGTGAGAGCTGCTTTGCATTTTGCCTCTGAGAAAAGCATCTCAGAGTCATGCATACTTTCCCCTCCTTTAGGCCAGTTTTGTTGCCTCTGGAAACAGGACAGATATTTCCTTGGACGACCCGAATTTCTGGCAGAAGTGGGCCAAGAAGGCCGAGTTGGATATCGATGCCTTAAATGGGCGGGTGAGTGCGGGTCGCATCCATGGTCTATCTGATCTCACCCGGGGTGACCTTTTCAGAAGTTTCATGGAGATCTGCTGTCTTTTAGAACAACCTGGTTATTGACACTCCGAGAGTGAGGAAGCAGACCAGGCTGTACAGTGCAGTGAAGGAGGACGAGCTGATGGAGTTTTCGGACCTGGAGAGCGATTCCGAAGAGAAGCCGTGCGCGAAGCCGCGGCGGCCCCAGGACAGGTCCCAGGGCTACGCCAGGAGCGAGTGCTTCCGAGTCGAGAAGAACCTGCTTGTCTACGGGTGAGTCAGATTCGTGGGAGAAACGGAATTTTATTTTAAAAATAGTTAGAATTCCAGGTGGCGTAGAAAATTTGTGTTTGGATTCCTGTGCCTCCCTGCGGTGCAATGGAGGGAGAGTGTTTGCAGGGCCGTTTGGTTGAAGAGCTCAGAGTCCTGCAGATCCTGGGGGTTTGAGGGGACCTTGTCCCTTAAGGAATTAGGTCAGATTCAGATTTACTTGCTGATTATTAACAAAGAACGAAGTCTCAAAATTGCAAAATCTCTTCCTAGTTTACCTTCATGTAAAATTACCCCTATGGCAGTCTTCTACTACTTTTTCTAAGTAAATTTTCTAACTAAATTTTCATAAAAATTTGTTAAAGGCAGTCATCTCACTTGTAAAGCTCTTCCAGCTCATCTGAAACGTAAATGGTGTCTGAATGTGTTGTGTTTCTCTTGCTGGACCGCAGTCCCGGAAAGGCAGGACCCTCATCTAATCTGTCTCTGAGTCTCCGTGCCGCCCGCGCGGGGCTCTGAAAGGCAAGGCGCTCAGCGAACACTGATTCTGTAAATAAGCTCTGGTGCATTGTGGGGCTGTAGGCAAATCCTATTCAGATGGAAAAACTGCCACCGAGACAAATATTTCTATTGCTCTGATGACACCCTCTCTGTGATTTTTTTTTTCTTCCAACGGATCACCATTAGTCTCAAAAGGAACAAACATTCTGTTACCAGTGCACCAGGCTATCACCTGGCCCCAGTCTGTCCTGTGGCCCTTTCCACCGGCGCTCTGAGCTGCTGTTAGGACAGAGGCTCGCCCTCTCCCACGTGCCATGCTCCGTCTTGTCCCTGTGTTTCCAGAAGCTTCCCCGCCCACATTCCCACAGCACACAGACTTGACGGGCCCACCACCTCCTGCCCCTGACCTCTGAGCAGGCGTGGCCTCAGCACCCTGCACCTGCTGACACCCGTCCCGTGGCTCTGAGTAGTCAGCCTCTCCCACTCAAGCCCCAGCTAACAGCTCCTTGAGGTCCAGGGCCCCCTCTGTGTCCTCAGGGAGAGCACGGAGCCGGCAGACACCGTGAGTGCTGGGTCATTGGTGGCTCATGGTGTCACTGAAGTTCCGCTGAAGCCCATCGTCATCCCCGCAGTGGTGTCCCCTCTCCTGGTTATCTCCGCAAGCCGGGCTTCTCTCTCGGCCGTCCCTGCGTGGCGGACACTCTCCCTCTGAGTCCTTTGTTACTTTCCCTCCTTCTGTGTTTCAGCCTAATGATCAAAGTTGAGAATTTTGCTGATAACTTTAGAAATGGAATGTATTAGTAACTGGTGAAGCTAGGAGGCATCTTAGGGCATCTGTCTTTCAAAAGCCCTCCCCCTGCCCATAGACATCCCAGGTGCTGAATACGTGCTACACTCGTGCTACACTCGGGGTGCTGTGCTGGGACAATCCCAGCCCCGCCCTGAGGCCGGCAGGTGAATGAGTAGAAAAGGCAATAAACTGTGGTAAAGCTGGCTGGGACCCATAGTGCCCGTGGGGCGGAAGCCTGTTCCCTCTCCTTTAGGACACACTCGGGCACTGTCACCCCACTTCTGGGGTCAGGGGATAAAAGAAGGAATTCCACAGGGGGCGGCATGGATGAACGTCATGAATTAGCTGGGGCAAGAGTGGGTGTTGGGCGTTGGGCAGGGAGAAAAGAGGTCCCGGCAGCAAGAGCCTGTGTCCAGAGGCCTAAAGGCGAGGGCCGGCCTTGCGACTTGAGGAACTGAGAGGAGTTCACTGATGCCGGGAGGACAAGGCTGGGTGGGCACTGTGCCCTGCAGCGGGGCTTGTCCTCGGCCCACGCACTGTAACCGGGGCCTGCTGGGCTCAGACGGTACCTGCCTCTGTGCTGTGTGCTGTGGGCTCTTGCTCCCAGCATACCCTGACTGGACGGCCAGCTTCCCGTGTACTGTCACAGTCTCCCCTCACCACCCTCTCGACCTCAGGAGTCGGCACCTCCTGTTTCAAAAGGAGACTCAGACCTTTTCACGGCCTTTCTTTCATTATTGGGGTGCCCCTCGGAGGTGGGTAGGTGCAGCCATACCTCTCAGCCATGTGCGCCCCTGATTTGGGGGCGGTCACACCCACCCCGAGTCATCTTTCATCTCAGCTGGTTGGTCAGCATCGCAGTGTACAAACCGCGCCCGAGCGAAGCGGCCTGCCTGGCTGGGAAGCAGCCCCGCGGGGTGGTTATCCCAGTGGCGGTTCAGCTCCTGCCCTGACACCTGTTCTCTCACGGGCGTTTTCAACTCTTGCACCCTGGATTGGTGTCCTGTCACCTGATGTAAAATGCCGCTAGTTTGGGCCTGAGATTTCTGAACGCAGCTACCTGACCATGAAACCCAAGCCCCAGATGTAAACTCAAAGGCACCATCCGCTTGCTGACTTTGCTTTGCAGCTGGGGACGGTGGACGGACATCCTTTCCCACGGGCGCTACAAACGTCCGCTCACTGAGCAAGACGTGGAAACCATCTGCAGAACCATCCTTGTGTACTGCCTCAACCACTACAAGGGCGACGAGAACATCAAAAGCTTCATCTGGGATCTGATCACGCCCACAGCTGACGGCCAGACGCGGGCCTTGGTCAACCATTCCGGTAGGACGCCTGATTCCACGCTCTTTGTGTGCGAGGTCCCCGGGAGCCATAGGGGATGCTAGCGACGCATCCTCCACCCCGCGTTTTCCTGCCTCGAGATACCCAACCCTGACCCTGACCCTGACTCTGTAGTTGTGGTTGTATAGAAGGCTTCTATTATAAGTACTACTATGGTTCCAGGTTTGTCAGCCCCGGTGCCCAGGGGGCGGAAGGGTAAGAAGGTGAGAGCCCAGAGCACGCATCCCGTGGTGCAGGACGCAGACTGGCTGGCTGGCTGCAACCCCGACGCCCTGTTCCAGGAGGACAGCTACAAGAAGCACCTGAAACACCACTGCAACAAGTATGTCCCAGAGGGCGGGGTGGGAGCTGGTTTCCCGTCCTGTTCTTAAATGTGCGTGTTTTTAAGCGTGTGTGTTTGTACACTGTATATTTTTATATATAATATATATATATATATATATGACTGTTAAACTGTAATTACTGTCTTTGCACGGCTTCACTGTTTTTCTTGAAACGTGATGCCAAGTGCCAGAGCATCATACCTTTAGATGACTTTTTTTCTTTTTGGTGGTAAAAGATAGGTAACACAGTTTTACCATTTGAATTGTTTGTAAGTGTACGAGTCATTGGGAGTAATTGCATTCAGATTGCTGTGTACCCATCACCACTGTCTATACCCAAGGCCTTTTCATTGACCCCAGTATGAACTCTGTCCCTATTAGAAAATAACTCACCTTCCCTGGCCCCTGGCCACCACTATTCTAGTTCAGTCGCTATGAATTTGCCCATTCTGGGTACCGCATAAGTGGAATCGTACAATATTTGTCTTGCTGTATCTGGTTTATTTACTTAGCATAATGTTTTCAAGGTTCACCCACGTTGTAGCTTGTACCAGAATTCTGTTCCTTTTTATGCCCGAATGATGTTCCATTGTACTTTTCTACCACATTTTGTTTATCCATCCATCCATTGAGGGGCACGTGGGTTGGGGGACACCTTTTGGCTGTTGTGAAGGATGCTCTGTGCGCGTTGTGGCTGACTAAGTTTTAACCACTATGCCTTACACAGTTATGGCTAGCTTTCTGTGATCCTGCCTTCAATTCACAGCTTTCAGTGGAGAGACTGCGGAGTTTACATGTGAGTTTTTGCTTCGTAGTATCTCAGTTGCTGGGTCCTTTTCTTTTTCCTGTGAGCTTAGAATCATTTTCCTTACCTTGATTTCCAGAACCTGCTTATATATAATTGAAGACTGTGGGATCTGAATTCATTCCGTTGCTTGGAGCCCTGTGAGCTGCCTGCATATTAAACTCGCATCTGTCTACACACGTTGATTCTCTCCTTCCTCTGAGTTGCGTTTTTCAGGATGAGTGGTGCAGGCGGCACTGCCCCTGACAGCTCTACGCTTCCTGGCTTTGCGCGACCAGGGGCGAGTTTCTCGGCCCCTTTGAGACTCCCTTTTCTTGTTTGTCCAGTAGAGGTGAAATAAGTGTATCTTTCTCTCTTTTGAATAGTGCAGCAGAAGTCTGAGCACATAATGCTGGCAGTGTGCCAGGCGCTTCCCATGACTCACCCATTTTGCGCTGTCTAAATAGTGCTGTTTTATCCCCAGTTACCAGATGAGGAAACCGGGTCTCGAGCACTCCAGGCCCCTCAGCTGGTTGAGGGGGAGTGCCCGCCCGGAAGCCTGCTTCCCCTCAGGGCGTCAAAAGCCTCACCTGAAGTAATTCCTGGGACCACCTGCTCCTCCTGGGTCGCACTGACTAGTGACTCTCATCCCTTTTTAAATTCAGTGGTGCTTTCAGGGACTGGCTTTGGTTCCCACTCTTAGATTCTGACGGACAAGATGTTTCCTTTCTAAGTCTTCAGAACCATTCCCTCAAGCCACTCTTGGCGTCTAAGAAACTGTGGCTCCTGCCATGGCAGGATGGGCCTCTCTGCAGTCCCGGCCGCTTCGAGCTGTTAGGGAACTGCTTTTCCTTTGTGGCTCCTGTGAACGGGGGGTCCATAACCTTCAGAGTTCTGGATTCAGACAAACTGTAAGTGAAGTGGTCTAGTGTGGGAACAAGGCCTCCTGTTCCCAGGCGCCAGCGTGATGGTGGGGGTTTCAATCTCCCATTCTGCTGCCAGTAACAGGCTTCCATAGGGTCCCCGCCCCAGTTAGCATGTGAGTTGCTGCTAGTGTCCTTCACATCTTCCCCTGCGTCCCAGGAGGGGACGGGCAGCGCCCTCTGTCCCCTCTGGGACGAGCGAGGCGTCCAGTCGTGCTGTGCTCCTGCCCCGAGACATCTCAGCATCTGAAGTGAGGAACTGTCGACCAGAGAGAAAGCGAGACTCAAATCGAGGGACCTCCTAGGGAACAGCTGGCCGGTTCTCTTCAAAAGTGTCAAGAGACAAAGTGTCTCGGGTTGAAGGGGACGAAAGGGACAGGACAGTTCTGTGTCCCACGTGGTCCTGGCCTGGGTGCTGGTCACTCAGGGGACAGCCACTGGAACCAGAGCCCAGTCTGGGCTAAACTGCAGGCTGTGAGCCCCTGTGGAGTGTGGGCTAGGTCCCGGCAGGATGACGAGGGGACAGGAGGTAGCCTCCGACCCTGGGAGATTGCATGCAATGAGTCAGACAGACTGGGCTCTGGTTCCAGCAGCTGTCCCACAAGTGACCAGCATCCAGGCCAGGACCACACAGGGCATGGGACGGTCCTGGTCCCTTTTGCCCCCTTCAACCTGGTTCAGGATGGCACAGCTAATTTTTAATCTTATCAAAAGAAAGAAATCTTCCAAAGAAAAAGGAAAAAAAGAGTCGTCCAGAAAGATTGCTCACCTTGGAGCACAGTCAGACATTTACAGCCTTGCACTTTGCCCGGCTGGCATCCAGGTTGGTCAGGAGCCGTCTCCTGCTGGAGAGGAAAGCGGGTCACGGGGTGTCTAGTCACACAGGACCAGAGTGGTCTGTCGCAGTGAAGCTGCCGCACTTACCATTTTGGTCTTTTCAAGGACAAGGGTCTCCCGAGAGACAGTATGCAGTGGTAGAGTCAGAAGGCCTAAGTCCCAGGGGTCCATGCTCAAGGTGACTCTGTGACCTCAGATATGTCGCTGGTCTTCTGTTGGCTTCCCTTTTCACGTTTGTAAAATGGAAATTGTAACTTCCCCTACTTCATCCAAGGGTCACCGTGAAGATCAGATGAGCTGGTGTATGGAGATGTGGCGCTCTGGTTGTAAAGTGTCCTCTAAGTGTGTTATGGGACAGTCCAGCCAGGGACCAGCACTTGGTATCGTCCACTCACGGCCACGGAGGTGGTCTTCAAATAGCAGTCCTGAGTGCACACGGGGGGCCGTCCAGCAAGAGATGCTAGACATGGAGTCGGCAGGCCTTTGGGATGTATCAGGTGGGCCTTAATGAAAGCGTTATGTTTGTGCCATTGAGGAGATCCAAGTGAGATTGAAAATGTGGTTCCTAGAATTCCAGGAGTCTTTGAAAATTGATTCCTTGAAACTGAAAACACCAGCGAACTGGGCACATTTAGATCTCCTTTGTGATGTTTTATTATTTGTCAAGCTCCAACTCAGGCTTCTAGATAACATAGAAGAGAAAGGTTTACTGTTCCTTAAGGGAGAGGAGTGAGGGTCTACCCCACCGCCATCTTTCTTTCTCGGAAGCAAAGTTGTATAATCGGAAAAACCTGACATTCCATATTGAGGGTTTATTGTAAGGTAGTAAAACCAGATTTTATATCTCGTTTATTCCTACAACTTCTGATGTGCTTCCAAAAATGGTATTAAGGCAGCAGCTGAGGAAATTTTATGAGATAATGAAGCAGAACAGTTACTGAAAGCCATCTGCTCAGTTGTTTACAAACTTGCTTCAATACTTCAGAGGCAGTGGTGGGGTACGTGTCTGAACTCCACAAGCTGCACTAGGTAGGACTAAATGAAGTGCGCCCGGGCCGGGCTGAGCTCGGGCCCTCTCTGTGCAGTGGGAGCGGTTGCCAGGCAGGCCTGTTGGAAGCCAGCAGAAAGCACCACACAGAGGTGATTATGTGCCACCATCTGTCACGCTTCAAGCCTACCATACAGCATGGCTAATCAGCCTTGGCAGGATGATGGATGAACAGCAGCAGCTGCCAAAAGCCACTGTTGGCAAACAGTCCTGAAGTTAAGAACTTTTCCCCCCTCTGTCTTCCTCTCCAGGGTCCTGCTGCGTGTCCGCATGCTGTACTACCTAAGACAAGAAGTGATCGGAGACCAGGCCGAGAAGATCCTGGAGGGTGCCGACTCAAGGTTAGTGCGGGCCCACGCTCGTTCTGCACCTCGTTGCAGTGATCCGGGCGGTCGGAACAGCCCTCGGCTCCCGTCTCAGAGCTCCGTAAACCCGTTAGGAGCACAGCTCCCTTTTCGCATCTCGAATGCTGTGTTTGTCCTACCAGCTCGGGGATGTGATGAGAATCGGGAAAAGCCCGTCTGCACGTACGTGTGGACGTACAGAAAGGTGTGAACTAAATTACCGGGGTGCAGAGATGTCCTTTAGGGTGGGACACCGTGTGTTAAAATTCACTTTTTGTCCTGGAAGGACGTGGCTGGGCTGACTTCTGCCCTTTCTTTCAACCTTGGCTGTTTCGTCCCCTGCCCTTTGCCCCGCGATGCTCAGGTGCTTATCGTGGGAAGAGGGGGCATGTGTTGTGTTCGTCATTTGGCATTATTCTTTAAACTGGTATTTGTTTCAAATATCACATAAATGGTTGCCTCTCTAGCGAAGCTGATGTGTGGATCCCGGAGCCTTTCCACGCGGAGGTGCCCGCAGATTGGTGGGATAAGGAAGCAGATAAGTCCCTCCTGATTGGAGTGTTCAAACACGGTAAGGGGCGTCTCTCGGGGGCCGCATCTCGACTGCGTGGCTTGGTCTTTATTTAGAGCTCTTTGCACGCTCTTTCCAGACTCACAATATTAATAAGGATAGTTCCAAAGGACTCTTGGCGTCTACTGTGTTCCTGTACTAAAAATCTAATATGAACTGTAAATATCAGATGCTGTTTTTGAATGTTTGTTGCGTATTTGAGAAGAAAACATCTCTTTCTTGGCTGTAAATAAAATCAAAACCATCTTTGTTTTAGTGATAGCCAAGTTGGTCCTATAGCTCACCCAAAACTTCGCTTCCGGCTTCCGACCCAGCTCCCCTCACGAGCCCTGCCAGCCCGTGTCAAAGTAGCCAGTGGGCTTAACCTCTGCTATTAATCTGTACAAGTGCCTCCTGGGCTTTGTTCCAAGCAATATTTCACAAATGTCAGTGCTGAGAACTCGCGGCTCCCCTGAGTGGGATGCAGCCTTGTTAACTTTGAAAGGCTGGGGACGGAGAACTGGCGTGATATATACGGTGAACGATTCCTGATTATAATCCCGAGTCTCTGGAGGTCGCGGACGTATTCTCAGCAGCCCAGCCTGACTAAAGGGGAGAATGATGGCTTATAAAACCTTTCATGATCACAGTTTGGCTTGCGGCTCTGCAGCGGTTAGGAGCGGCGTGTTGTAGGACACGTCCTAATTGAATTGTGCTGTTCCGCCCGTGTGCCGCAGCCGGGTTTTGTGAGCTCAGCCTAAAAATCATGTTCCCGCAGTGCGCTGCTGGGACCTGCCTCTTCCCATCTAGTCAGCTTGGGCAGTCAGAGAGCAAATTGCAGTTTGAACACCGTGGAGGGAGCAGTGTCATCTTACTGACATGCATCATCCTAAACCTAATAAGACAGGTTCGCTGGCCTTACGTGGACGGGGGTTTTTCAGCCAGCGGCCCAAGTTCCTGCAGGACAGTGGCTGTTGGCAAGGAGGGTGGGGCAGACTGCTGCAGACGTCATCGAGGAACGTTACAAAGCCTTGTAAATGCCAAGCAAAATTAGATCTTGGGGTACTAGGGTCAGACATCTTTCCGGGCATCTTGCAGTTTCTCTGAACCTGGTTTTCTGTTCGTATTTGTGGTTACTCTGATCACATCCCTGAAAATGTAACCTGCCCCCCACCCCCAGCCTGCCCTGGGATAAGCGTTCCATAGAATGGGCTGTTACAGCCCCGTTCATTCAAACACAACGTAAATGATCATCCTGCTTGATAAATGAACTTGGTGTGTCGTGGCCGAGCTGTGACTCTGTCAGTGACAGGCCTGCCTTCGTTGTTTCTGTGTGTGTCCTCCGTGGGCTGGTGGGTCTGCACAGGGTATGAGAAGTACAATTCCATGCGAGCTGACCCCGCGCTGTGCTTCCTGGAACGAGTTGGGATGCCTGATGCCAAGGCCATCGCTGCCGAGCAGAGGGGAACAGACATGCTAGCAGATGGCGGTGACGGGTAAGAAGGACGTTCTAAAATTTTAATAAACTTTATGTCAGTGTCGCACCCACTGGCAGGGTTCAGGTCTTACACCGTATCGTGCACTCCATTGGGTCTGATTTGAACCTGAGTAATGTTTACCAGTATCGTCTTTATATGTCACAAATGACTAGTTAAACACAATATATGATCAGTATAATCCGCAGCTTGTTTGTCTTTTCCAAGTGATGACGGTCCCCTTGACACATTACCCACCCACCTCCCTACACCCCACCCCTCCTTGGCCGGACGTTTTTAAATACCGATAGAGTCACTTTTGATGTCAGACCCAGAATTCAAAGTAGCTTCAAGCAGGTGGTTCCTCTTTCCCGGGCTCCCTTCAATCTCTTGCGAATCAGTATGATTTAAACATTTTTTTAAATTTTAAATAGGGGAGAATTTGATAGAGAAGATGAAGACCCAGAATATAAACCAACCAGAACGCCATTCAAGGATGAAATAGATGTAAGAACTGGAGTACATTGACTTTTACAGCAGCCGGCAGTAAAATATTATATGCCCGTATAAGGCTTGTTAAACTTTATAGATAATGGCCCTTTCTTTAAAAGATAAAGCAAAATAAAGTCTCAAATTAAAATAATTTCTCTTTCTCGCTTTGCTTTCGAGGAATTTGCAAATTCTCCTCCAGAAGATAAGGAAGAACCCCTGGAAGTACGTGCCCCAGGTAGGGCTCCCGGCAAGTCCAGGCGGAGCTGACCAGCAGTGTGCGAGCGCCTCACGTCGGCAGTATCTTAAAGCACAGTTTTGTCTACACTGATGCATCTCTTTTGGAAAGAATTTTTGTTCTTGTTTGCTCTTGGTTTTTCATTACTTTGAATTTCTTTGATAAAATAACTTTTTCTTTGGTTTAGGATAATGTATATATTTATGTTTTCCCACCAGTTAATGAAAACTTCTAAGCATCTTTAGAAGTCCAGCTCTTGGGAGCAGGGCATTTGCTCAGCACCTGAAACACTACCGGTTTGCAGAGAATACTGCACTTTTTTCCTAATGTAAAATCCTTAGCTAACAATTATGTGATTCTTTTTTATGTTCAAGATTATTCCATTAGAAGAGAACACTCTTACGCAGTTCGTAGCCTAAAATGGGTTTCTTAATATACGACTGATGAATGAGCTTGGTTTTTTCCCCCCGCTAAGGAGCTGAAAAGGAAGTGGGTTATAAGTTCCATGGCAATATTATTCCTTATTTATATTTTAAAAACGAGGGCACTGCGATGCCCTTGCCCACACTGTCGTTTGAGTGTTCGTGAGTCATCTTGTTTTGATGGAAGCCCTGTGTTTGGCAAGGCCGCAGCTACCCATTTCAGACACGTCGTTTCCACTTCCCCAGGCAAGCACAGCGACAGCGGTGCTGATTTAGGCCAGCTGTACTGGCCCAACACCTCAACGCTGACCACCCGTCTGCGCAGGCTCATAACTGCCTATCAGCGCAGCTATAAAAGGCAGCAGATGAGGCAGGAGGCCTTGATGAAGACTGACCGGCGGAGGCGGCGGCCTCGGGAGGAAGTGCGGGCCCTGGAAGCCGAGAGGGAAGCTATCATATCCGAGAAACGGCAGAAGTGAGTTCCTCGAGGGCTTTGCTCGGCCCCAGTGCCTTCCTCTCTCCTCTGCTCCCCTCCGCCCCCAGGAGGCAGGAATCGTATCCAGGATAAAGGATCCAAGATAATGGTTAGCGGAGCAGCCCAACCCCCACCCCAAAGCGAGCACCGCCAATGAGGTTTAGGGGAAAAGAGGAAAAGCAAGTCGTAAACTTGAAGCCTTTCTACTCACGTCCAACCCCAGCTAACGTCTCCTTCCTGACAGGTGGACCAGAAGGGAAGAGGCGGACTTCTACCGCGTGGTGTCCACTTTTGGGGTCATTTTTGACCCCGTGAAACAGCAGTTCGACTGGAACCAGTTTCGAGCCTTCGCCAGACTGGACAAAAAGTCCGACGAGAGTTTGGAGAAATACTTCAGCTGCTTCGTAGCCATGTGTCGGCGGGTGTGTCGGATGCCCACGAAGCCGGATGACGGTAGGTTCGGTAGGTTCGCCGGGTGACCCAGGTTCTGGACCGCGAGGCCCGCGTGGCCGGCGGAAGGGCGTGGCTGCGGGAAGCAGCCCGGGCCAACACGACTGTGCCCCCGCTGCAGAGCCGCCCGACCTCTCCTCGGCGATCGAGCCCATCACCGAGGAGCGCGCCTCCAGGACCCTGTACCGCATCGAGCTGCTGCGGAAGATCCGCGAGCAGGTCCTGCACCACCCGCAGCTGGGCGAGCGGCTGAAGCTCTGCCAGCCCAGCCTGGACTTGCCCGAGTGGTGGGAGTGCGGGCGGCACGACCGGGACCTGCTGGTCGGAGCTGCCAAGCACGGCGTCAGCCGGACGGACTACCACATCCTCAACGACCCGGAGCTGTCCTTCCTGGACGCGCACAAGAACTTCGCCCAGAACCGAGGGGCGGCCGG